CCAAAATTCTTTAGAAGTAAACTCATACATACCAACCCTATCAATTATTCCCAGCCACAAAAGTCTAAGAGTTTGAAAGAGGTCGGTTCCTAACGTCATGTTCCAAGCCATCAATAACTAACAATCATAGATTAAGTCGGTGATACTTTGCTTAACTTTCATTTGAGAAGATTATGAAGTTCCGTCTTGTTGCAATGAACGTCAATGAGTGAACTTGTTTTCATTTGATAAAGCAGCGTCTTCCGAAATTATTTTGAGAGATTGATATGTTATCACTATTTTAGATTGCAGATGATAATATTCGTTCGACGGACACGACTTTTAAAGAAACTTCATTGAACGGCAAAGCTTTTTCAAACGAGTCATTAGCTACATGTGTTACATCCTAACTACAAACTAATTAATATAAAATGGGTTTGATGAGCAATTATTGGTATCAGACAGAGAAAAATTAGCTAAATTCCAATAGAGAGAGCTAATCCGCCGACTGTTTAGTTGGTTTATGTCTTCTTTTCAGCTCCTGGTTGTGACTGTAGCTGACTTTTACGTGTTGGGGGCTGAAAGGTGAAGGAAAGAGACGTCTATTGCTGCTTCCATTTAAGGTTTGAGTGAGTTAATGGAGTTTGTTTTTCTTTATACTCTACCTTTCCAGAAAATGTCAAGTGCAAATGATTGAGAATAAGGACGACGCTACGAATTGGACCATACAACATGCACAGAGATGTGATGATTCACGTTGTCATCCGAACATGAGACGATGGTGTCAATCACACCACACAACATGCATAGTGGCCTGATGTGATAATCCACGTTGTCGTCCGAACATGCGGTGTCCGGACGTAATGTTTTTTTCCCCCTCTGTCACCTAATCATCTCGATTTGTCTTAAGAGTTTATTTTGTTTTATTTTTGTAAGGTCTTTTTACAAGATTAAGGTTTAAAATTATCGAATATTTTAAAAATTTATAGATTAGTACTAAACTCATAAAAATATTTATCATGCATGGCATTATAAACTTTCTGGTCCTTTTTTCTTCGTTTTATGGTGAATGTTTGAGAAAAGAGGACACATTAGTTAATTATGAATACTTTATTTAATCAATCATATATTAGTAATTAATACGATTAATTTAGAATCATATATTATTACTGCAATTATTAGTTATTAGAGCAAACTTTAGACCAATAGATAATTCAATAATATATTTTTATTAATAGTTTATAAAAATAAACTTTACATATAGAAAGATTGATAGTATAGCTAATGATGCAAAATAATTATTTATGTGTTATGAATATTGAACCTCATATCTTGTTCTCGTCATTCCCATGCATTAAAAAAAAAATTATAGTCCATCTTAAGCCAAAAAAATGGATTAAGAAAGCAACACTATGGAAAAAGCAATGTGATTTTGATGTAATTTATAAGGAAGTGAGGAAGATTTATATAATTGATATAATAATATTAGATTTCTATTTATCCAAATCGGAGTTGCCAGCTTCATGCCTGCTTGTCTATTTATATGTCATATTATAATTCTCTTATTCGAATAAATCTCCTTCCTGAATTATATAAAATATTTGAAAAGGAGGGGAATTGAAAGGAAAGTTATACGATAAAATATAGGCAAATAAATAAAAAGAAACAAGCGAAAGACTTATATATGCGTTAAGAATATACGTCAGAATCGAATCGAATCAAAGTATCTCGAAACACACGATAAAATATAGGCAAATAAATAAAAAGAAACAAACGAAAGACTTATATATGTGTCCGAATAGAATCGAATCAAAGTATCTCGAAACATGACATTCACGAAGAGAATTTCTACATAAGTCATCCATAACCATAGAACCAAAAAGAACAACTATGTTCTGGAGTCTCCTACAGGATAAGTCATCCATAACCATAGAACCAAAAAGAACAATTGTGTTCTGGAGTCAGGAGTCTCCTGCAGAAATGCATCCCTCTGACTAATTACATCCCGGAGGATACCCATGAATAATCTCGATAAAAGTAAACAGACACTTATACAACTTACTATATTGATTCAATTGAATTTTTACAAGCAATAATATCTAGGTTTGAATTTTTACTTATGATTATCACTCATAATGGGTTTCATTTCTCAAAAAAAGATTTTTTAAATTTCTATCTAAATTATATAATAAACCTAAGAGCTTTTTCGATCCTTCATTCACAAACTAAAGATGAAATAGAAGTAACACAAAGTTATTATCAATTTTATGAAGAAAAGAAGATCTCTAACAACCAAGAAAGTCAAGCTTAGAGGTGTATATAATAATCTTGCCAACTATCATTAACAAAACTCTATTTTCCTTGGCATTTAAATTCAAAAATTTTTTCCTTCAACATATACTTCTTGATAGTCGTATTATGGGACACATCTTCATTTTTACTTGAGAAAGTTTTGGATTAGTTGCAAAATAATTAATTAATGAAACCTAGTATGTGTTAGTTTAAGGAAACCAAAAGCTAAATGTTTAGGAGGATAAAATCACAACCAAGATAACAAGATTAATAAATTATTAATTTAAGAAGGTGACATGGTGCTAAAAAGCATAGAAGATGCTAGAAAACATCAAGAAATTGAAAAGTGTTTGTGAAGTTTCAAAGGATTTAAATTGTGGAAGATACACTTAGAAATGTTGCTTACCTGCGTCCCATCATATGAACATGGAATTCAAAAGATCTTAAATCATTATTTTTCTAAAGAGCCAACATGTGCTTGATTACATGCATATGACTTGAAAGTAACAAGTCAAGAAGAGAGTTGCAGGGCTCCAAATTGTAACTAAAAAAGTGAGAAGATTATTACATTTATTTTTCTCGATTAATAGCTTTCATGAGTGGCACATGCATGTTACATGTTACATGACCAATTAAAGGATTTTTTTAATCCCTTAAATTATTATTTTGTAAACCCTTTGTCTTTTTATTTCTTGCCAAAATTGAATGTCCCTATAGTATACCAAAATGATAAGAATTAACACAGTATTGATAGTACATATGGTGCAAATACCTAACAACTTTAAATACTAAGGCATAATTATACAATATTATATATAAATAAGACAATTGAATGTTATTATTGACAACCAAATTTTAATTAGCTTACCTCTATGATAACCATAGTGATAGAGATGAACCATCGCTAACAATAAAATCATCGATATTCTACTTAAGTGGAGGCAAAGTTAAACAAGTAGTTATGTATGTAATAGAAAAGTTATGGTACAAATAAATGCAAATAAATAACAACAATTTGAATGATTAATAAGAAACATAAGCAAATATTAAAGTCATGTTAAAAAGTAAATAATTAGAAATAAAATTTCATAATCCCCTGGTTACCACCCTCATTAAATTATATTTTTCTTTCACTTCGCTTTTACTAGTTATACCTGTCAAGCATAGAAGCGTTGATTCGTTTTTGCATGAAACCTATATATTTGATTAAGTTGTGCTGGGATGGGTTAAGATAAATAGACTTAATTTAATAGTCATATATTTTATAATCATCTTATTAAAGATAATTTTGCCATTTATTTTTTAAAATTTGTGAATTTTGTTAATTTGATATTCTAATAAACCAATATACATTATGTTTACTTGAAAAAAATGTTAGAGAAGTAAACATTATACTTGATATGAAATTGAAACTTTAACAATCAAATTTAGTTAATCAAATAAGATTGTTTTCATTGAATTAATTGAGTTTTATCTAATCAATGCACATCTATATTGGCTACAAGTTGTTATGCTTAAATCCTCTTAATGCAGCAACCTATGTTAAAATTTCAACACCTTGCATGTTTTCTTTGAATGAATCAAGCCTAAGTAGTTTTCATTCTGCCAAACTTGCCTTCATGTCCTCTTTCTATTGTAACTTTTTTATCCTAATTTTTTCATACTACTATGACTTAACACCATAGCATATTATAAGTTTATTTTCTTACTCTGTGACATCTATTTCCTTACCCATAGAGCATCAATGAAATTTATAAATAAATTCAAATTTAAATTTGTATCACATAAATATTGATATAGTTAGGAAATACAAATTACCCAAATAAAAATTTATCACACAACTAAAATTTCATTGATTAATCTCATTAAATGATTATGTGAATTCAATTTAAATACAACTTTCTTACTTTATAACAACACTTTTACTAAACTCTTAACCAAGGTGCATATTGGGCAATTATAAAGCTTTTTATTAGCAATATAGTCAATATAATATGTACTTTCAAATCCATTACTCCTTTTTTCTAGAAATAAACTAATCATCCTTATTGATCTTCACAACATTGGTTCCCACATCATCTTTTTGAACTCTTCCCTCAGTAGATTTGGACATCTCCAAGCCTCACGTCACTCTCTTTACCCAAATCCAACCATACTACCGCCTGATCTATCATATCCCAAACTTCTGTTATTCCCAATCCTCCTATATGACTCACACCAATCTCGTAAATCTCATGACAATTTTATAGTCTTTACCCAAATCTCTTCTAGATTTGTTTCATCCCAAGTCACACTTTCTATTACAATCAACGACACAAATCACTAAATCCTTAATCTTGTCCAAATCCACATCCATATAGTTATTGTTTGACCATGAAGCATGGCCTATTTGAAGGGTTGAGCATTTTTAGTGATATAGTAATCTACTAATGTAGTTTTAGACTCTATATATATATATATATAAAACTCCTAAAGTATTTTTAGAGTCTATATATATATATATATATATATATTCACATTTTAGAACAAGCTAATTTAATTGATGGAGTCATTACAACTTTGAGCTAATATCTAACGACAAATCAAGTTAGTTTAGCCATTTATCGAACCAAATTAGGGCTCGCCCACTCGTCTTAACACGTACTCGTCGTCGTTAAACACACATATTGAAACTTGGAGGTGTTAGGGTTTCTGTGGGGGATGTCCGGCGCAGCGAAGGACGGCGGGCGGCCATGTATCGGATATGCAGCTGGTTGCCGCCATTCCAAATTCCGTCGGTGCTGTAGTTGCCAAGGCTGCAACAGTGGACGGTTCCATTGTTGAGTACGGGAAAGGCGCGGGGGGTGGAAGTGTGCTCAGAGAGGAGGAGGAGGATTTGGAAGTGAAGCTTCGACGAATCATTGAGAACGTACCCGTCCGTGTTAACAATACCTCTGGAAGCTCCGCTGGTTCGGGCTCCGGTGATTTCCATCAGGTCTCTCCCTCTCTCGGTCTATCCCTTTCTTGCTCGTTTGATGTTTGCATAACTGTTTATTCATCTGCAACCGTATGATTTATTTGCAAATAAATATTAGTGCAAGTCTTTGGCAAATGCGCTGTTGGAATGCGAGTTGGATCAAAGTATCAAAGGTTAAACATATACTATTCCTTTAATCGTTACAATCAATTTATAAAAAACAGTTGGTACTACGAAAATTTGTAATATTTTGATTTAACACTGCTTCCGATCGGGAGTTAAGGGAATAAAAAACTTTTTTTGGGGGCATTTGCTTATATACCACCCAATTCCTGTGTAACACGAGTGTTTGGCTGCAATAAGGATTTTTAACGTTAGTAGGATTTAATAAATCCAGATTTGTTAAATCCAAGTCCTTGCTGGATTTACTAGATCCGGATTTAACATGAATACAAGGCAAAATTCAGACCTTAAATCCAAAATTTCATAAATCCATTGAACTTGTATTTTCTTTTGTTTGGCTGGATTTAGTAAATCCGACAGACAAATCCTGTTAATAGGGTGCTACCAAACATCTATACTTTTTAGATACATACCACCCATACAGGATAGATACAATAAGGTTGAATGTTAGAGGTATGTGACCAATCTTCTATATAGATGACCCTCATAACTTTAACTTCTCAAAAATAGGAGGGCAGTTGCAATTTCAAGTTTTAGTAATGCTCCCATGATTCCTGAAAGGAATGGAGATACTTGGGAGGGAGGCATTTGATGATGGGGATGTAATGTTCAACATGACACCAAACTTTATGTAAGATTGATGCAATGTTAGGGCTAACTTTTTATGACGGAGAAGCAAATGCGGAATAGGTAGACGATTGGTTGGGAGCACATGAAATTTCTCCTTTTGCAAAAGCAAAGTTAAAATTATCTTCTAAAATTTTATACTTATTTATGCAGGACTATGGCCACTATGAAATCAAGTATAATCTGTGTCGCCACGTTTTTATCCTCTTTTTGATTCACACCATAAATCCTCTAATGATTTATCTTACTAGAATTAAACCTGTTCGTCTAAGTTGCCATTATTGATATTCTGTCCATGCCAAACATATGGGGCAGCAATCCATTACTTATTTTTAATTGATTTTCAAAACGTCTGATAAAACTTGAGGATCATAACCATTCTATCACTTTTATATATAATCTGAAATGAAGTTATATACCGTATACTTTGTGGGAACAACTCGTTCAAGCCTGATGGATAGAAAAATTTAGTAGAACAACATCCAACAACAATATTTGGCTCCCACACTTCTAAGGTATTTTCTTCAGGGAAATTCATGATGCTGTGATTTTCTTTAACTAGATTGCGGCAATTCACAATCTTTTTCTAGATTCTTGCCCTACCTGTTATAGTTGAAAAAGTTTGCTTAATCCTTTTGGTGAAGACAGTTCCCACTTGCATCTATTAGGCTGTAGTTGGTTCACACAATAATTGGTTGAGTCTGCAAACTAATATTGGTGATAATTATTCTAATTAATGCTTTATCTTACCTTATATTATTCAGATGGAAAATTTCGTACAACTTAAAGGATTTTTTTTAGGTGTTTTTTCTTCCCACAAGTTCAAGTGATCATATTCTCCTCCGTTTTTAACATTGGGATGTTCAATCTTGCATTTTGAGGGTTTTTGCCAATTTTTAGGGAATAAATTTTAAAAATGAATGATTTTTTTTGAACTTTTCTCTTATTATTCTGTCTGTCAGGTCGTGTCTAATAGAATTTCATGACCTTGGTGTTAACCAGACTGGTTCTATATATGCTTGATAATGTAGTTTGGGGCAAAACTCATAAAAAATCTATGTTTCTAACGTTGAACGAGCCCTGCTTGGTATTGGAGCTTGAGGTGATTATGAGAAGACAATTGTTTTGAACTTAGACTGAGATAATTTTCCTTCAAACCATTGTTTAGGAAGGCAGCCTAAAACTTATTATTGCCTTGATATTTGGCAAATTGTGCTTGCAAGCTTCGCCACTGAAAGTATGGTTTTTACAAGAGTCTATAGCTTGTTTTTTCCAAAATTTTAGGTGTCTTGCCACCACATTAGATTGTTAATATTGCATTTGCTTGCAAATATCGTTAGTTTATCGTATACTACTCATTATTCAGGTCTATTGTTCTTCAAAAATTGTTTTTTCATACCACAAGTTTACACTAGAGTTTTTATATTACAAGAAGTGGTTGTAAGGTTCACCATGTAAATTATGGACTTTGCCTCAATAGTCTATCCTTCCCTGATATGTTTGTCGAAGAGCTTAGCTTTTTTATTACACCGTTTCGTGTTATTGTGAGCTTATGCGCTCATTATTTTTTTGTATGTTACTAGCATAGTTTACTCGACATTACAAAAGAGAAGGTTATATGGATTCGAGTTTAGTTGACATGGATCATGCTTGATCGACTGATTTGGGATTGGTCGGGGTGAATGGTTGCTTGATTAAGAATGTAAGCTGACCTATAGATTTTGGGTGCTAACCTAGTTTAAGGCCGAGCAAATATCAAACAAAATAGATAGATTGTCTGATAGAATGTCGAAGTGAGTAATGCTTCTGTTGGTGTATGAATCTGAGCGGAATCGAGTGACTTTGAATGGATTTAGACAAACACAAGTATAAATTGACATTATTAACCAATCAAGTTGACTATCTAGCTTGTTCAATTGTTGAATGCTTGTGGACGTCGCTTCAGCACTATAGTTATGGAGTTTGAGTGCTCAAATAGTGGGGCGGCAGAGCGTGTAGAATACATGTTGGTGTCATTATATTTCTGTAAGTTATTAGGTGATGATTAATATAGCCTACATGGTGATGATTAATATAGCATACAAAATATCCATGAAATTGGGGCATTTACTAATATTATATTGAATCGAGTATTTCCCAAACAGGTTTGTTAGAATTCAAGCGAAAATTTAGTGAGTTTGAAATGATTTAGATGAGTTTGTGACATGAGTAACCTGCCAGATGGATTGTGTAGGTTATATGAATTATTGATTATAGCTTGAATTCTCAAGGAGCATGGATGGCTAAGCATATGGAAGATCTATTTGAGTAATTAAGTTGTGAAGGTTAGGTTTATGATATATTGTCTATTTATTGAATGCCCCATAGATTTTGAACACATATCTTACCTTCCATTTTAATTCACACTACACTTTTTTTACCATGTTTTCTACTAAGGTTGAACAACCATTCTTGTTCGCGGTCGACCTACCTGAACTAGGCAAACCTTTTTGATAGTAATGGGATTAGTGGTGTATATTTAAGTTAATGCGTCAGAATTGAGCCATACCTGAATTTGACCCTAACCAAAATTGCTTGACTAAAACCTAACCTAATGTTTTACGGGTCATAGCTCTAACTCAAATCAGACTTGACACAGTCCTAATTGATTTGAACCTAGTTTATACATATTTTTTTGTGCCAACACAATCCAATTAACCCAAATGTGATCCATTGTGCAAATGAGAGTTGAAAACTTGTTAAAAGGTTGCATTTAAAAAAAAAAAATTAAATGGGTTTTGTCTGGACTGATTTTATGTTTTTCAATGCAACCTTTTTTTGGGTTCTTATTTTGTGGAATTCAAAAAATTCCTACTATGCTATAATAGGATCGACCTTAGCTAATCAATGCAACTTTAGGCCCATGGGCATCATGGAAGACATACATAAAATTTTCCTTGCAATGAATGTGACTCAAAATATGGTTTATATTAATTCTAGAGCGTCGAGGTTTCCTAAAGAGAAAGCTCTTAAGGGTAATTACTTCTTGGGCGTTACCGATAACACTTTTGATTAAGATGACATTTACTTTTAGATTTGGGTAGGATTGGTGTATTTATGGTTGGGTCAAAATTAGAATGTACCTTATGGAGCACTATAGATGATGAAGGTTTGGAGAGATCCTAGGAACTAAGATTGGCTCAAAGGCATAAAAACGGATGTGAAAAGGGGACTTATATCTCCACATACTTGGTGGTGATATCCAGACTAGACTTATAAGGCCATGTGGTGGCTTCTACCCTGATATAGGGATGAATGAGGTTGGGAAGAGAAACCTGATCAAAATCTTATGGATTCATCTTTTATGATTATTGTAGCTCAATCTTAATTAAGAAGGTTGGTGACCCGACCTAATTAAAGAATTCTTATAGAAATCCATGTGTTACTTCATCCAAAAGGTACATTATAAACTTTAGAGGTAAGAATGCTATTATGTCCCTAGGCAATGGATGTATCCAATCAAGATCTCATGGTTAAAAATTATTTTGGGCCATCGAAGCTCTTGTTTGCTTAGTTATGTGATGGTTTGAGGATCCTTGTTAAGAAGTATAAGTTAATTAATCCAAGAGAATTTTGTATACGAGAGTACAATTCCTAGACTCTATGATGGACACATGTCTTAGACTCTTAAAGCCAGTGGAGAGTATGAAAAGGTATTTCCTCCTGTGGTGGAGAAGAAGACCACACTTTGATTTAAAACTTGATCTTAGCGGATTAAGAGGGTTAGTTATTAACTTCATGTGGTAGAGAAGATATCTAAAACTGGACTTACAACTTAATTTGTGGGATCAAGAAGTTTATACGTCTTCATTTGAACATAGAAGATGCCCTGTATTTGGTCAAGAAAGACTTGCCTCTGGCCTAGTTCGAGAATACTATTCAATTACTCAAGCGCAAATGCAAAAGCGGGCTATCAAGTCTATGATATGAATGGAGATAGTGCATCCCACGACTAAAATGTGCATATGAAGGATGTGTTGTGTCGTGCTTCGCGTATTAACCTTGGAATGGTATAATTGTAAATGTAATTAAGAAGGAACTAAATTGTAAAACTACTATTATTAATTTAAATGTGTGGGAGAAACAGAGAGGGATGATCCCAAGGATGGAGGAGGATATAGAATTAGGTTGAGGGAGTCAAGGAAATAATCTAAACTAACCATATGAAA